GGTGTGACATAAATGGCCAAGTATCTCAATGATTTTCAGTTCGGGGTCGGGGTGTCGGGTGGAGTTGAAGCCATATTACATAGCACAAATCGGGTGTTGAGTGAGCGCCACAATGACGGATCTCTTTCCATGCTTACCGTGGACTTATCCAATGCCTTTAACCTTGTTGACAGATTTGTATTACTTCATGAGGTCAGATTGCGGTTTCCTTCTATATCCTTGTGGGTAGAATTCCTACATGGTCAAGCAGCAAGGTTGTATCTAGGAGAGACACATATTAAGTCAACTACTGGGGCTCAACAAGGAGACCCCTTGGGACCACTTCTTTTTTCCATTATGCTGCACCTACTCTTGCATAACATTAGAGACAATTGCAAGCTTATTCTCCATGCATGGTACCTTGATGATGGCATACTTATTGGAGATTCGGAGGAGGTGGCCAAAGCATTGGACATCATTAAGGTGATTGGCCTAAAATTGGGCCTTCAGCTGAATATCAAGGAAACCAAGCTCTTTTGGCCCTCGTGTGATGGTAGGAATCTATGTAAAAGGCTATTCCCAGTTGGCATCAGGAGGCCGTCTTCGGGGATGAAACTTCTTGGGGGAGCTGTTAGTAGAGATGCTAGTTTCATTAGCAGATTAGCCATAAAGAGAGCCGAAAACGCTGTGAATTTGATGCGTCTTCTTCCACAATTGTCTGATCCTTAGAGTGAGCTCTTTCTGCTTCGGTTTTGTATGGGTATTGCTAAACTTTTGTTTGGGCTGAGGACGTACCAACCCGTTCACATGGAGGAGGCGACATTATTCTTTGACAATGGGTTACGCGGGGCAATTAAGGACATTGTGGTTTGTGGTAGCCCTTTCTTTGGCGACATACAGTGGTGAATTTCTTCCCTACCCATTAGGTTTGGTGGTTTAGGTTTATACTCAGTCATAGAGGCTACCTCATATGCTTTTTTTTTCCTCGAGGGCCCAATATGGGGTATTGCAAGACCATATCTTACGTGATAGGGACATATATGGTATGGATTCTGATTATGATTGTGCCTTGGATTCTCTTCATAAAAAAGTTCCAGATATTGACCTTAACAATTTTACTACTAAATACACCACCCCCTAAGTCCCAGAATACACTAGCGAGTTCCCTTTTTCGTAAAATTGCCCAAGATATGAAAGTGCATCTTGACATGACGGCTCGACATAAAGCGATTTTACAGTGCTTACGTGCACCACATGCTCAAGATTTTCTTCTAGCTATCCCTATTGATGGACTTGACTAACATATGTCTCCTGTGGAGTATCGTACGATCCTCAAATATCGACTCATGATCCCTGTAACGACCCAATTTTCAAAAGAAAATTTTCATTTTCAAATAATCAAAAACACTTTCCATGAACCATAAAATCTCAATACATTTGTTTTGAAATTCTTAACAATAACAATATTATTTCAAATCATCAGAGTGTCCCATAAAAACGCTTGTGAGAGAGTGCATGTTGCGCCATCAAGCCTTGCCCTTGCCCTTGGGCTCAGATGTACCTGAAACAAATCCACAAACTGTAAGCTAATGCTTAGTGAGTTCCCCAGAGCATACCCCACACAATCCACATAAACACATAATCATATTAGCTATAAAAGCTACATATACCACAACAGCCATGCATACATACATATAGGGATGCCGTTGGCTCGTCCCCAGGGTCTTACTCCAGGATGTCATGGGCTCCCCACATGGTCTTACACCTAAGTGTCATGGGCTCTCCCATGGTCTTTAATAGGAAATCCATGTGCTCTCCACATGGTCTTACATCCAGGTGTCATGGGCTCTCCCACGGTATTCCATACAAGCATACCACATATACCACTAGCATACTTCCTAGCTCATACCAACTAACATGCCACATAATACAACTTCATCTAGGATACCACATATCATAAAATAGGTCGACCTTGGTGCCTTAGACCCATTGGTATGGTGAGGAGACTCACCTCTCGCGAATGTTGAGCTTACAAGATAAGATCCAATAAGTCCCAACGCACAGCTCCAACTAAACTACCTATAAGCATCATGAGATTAACTTTTCACAATCCTGAAATGCCATAAATACCTTCAAAGTCAACTCTGATCAACCCTGGTCAAGTCAAGGTCAACAGTCCATGTTGACCCCAACTCGTCGAGTGCATCTAGCGACTCGTCGAGTTCCTATAGAGTCCAAAAGACCGGGACAAACCCTAGCCAACTCACCGAGTTGTTTCATTAACTCGACAAGTTCACTCGATATCCAGTAGACGGGGGAACCCGATCCAACTCATCGAGTTGCCAGGGCAACTCGTCGAGTCCCCCTCCCTGTTTGCTTATTTTGATGATACGTCGAATGCAGGGAGTCCAGGGCTTAGATCTGAAACCCTAAGGTGTCTAGAAGGATAAAGTTTCCAACTTTACCCTCTAGAACCACTTTGAATGCTCTAAGGCCCTTATCAAAGGTTGGAAAGCTCAAAATCTTAGCCATGTGGCCCAAGACTCTATGGATCTAGAATCCATCCTTTCCAGAAGAGTTTCTAGTCCTCAAGACGTTCCAAAGATGGATGCTTTATGGACATGCATGTCTTGAAGTTAAAATGGCCAAAAAGGGGAAATATACTCTAAAACCATTGCATGGCATCCTTGCTTGACTAAAAGCTAGATCTAGCCCAGCTTGGGACCATTTTGCCCTGGAGATTCATAAAGTTGCAAACTTTATGAACCCCATGCATGTAATCAACAAGAATGACAGGAAATGAAGAGTAAACTCAAGATCTAGCCATATTCTAAAATAAAAATCGAATCTTGAAGACTTACAACAGTCTACAAGATGGTCAAGCTCAAGAGTGAGGGCTTGGTTTGCTGAATCTTCTCATTCTTCTCACTATCTTCTTTTTCTTAAGCTCCACAAGTCACTCTATCTCATAAAATGAGAGAGAATGGGGATTAGGGTTTAGCATAGACGTTCTTAGGGTTTGGAGGCTGATGGAAGGTCAACCTCAAGGTTCTTAAGGAGATTATATAGGGTGCAAACCATAAAATTAGGGTTTTTCCTTTACAGCACCTACTCGTCGAGTTGGGCCTTCCAACTCGTCGAGTAGGTCTTAGATCCCGCATCCTCAAAATGCTCTCTACTCGACGATTTAGAGCTCCCCAACTCGTCGAGTCTCAACACAAAACCCTAAAACTTAGAAAATTAAATAATACCTGGAACAGGTGTTACAATCCCAATATTCCCAGTTGACGAGATATGTCCGGTGTGTCGCAAGACATGTTTGGACTCTTTTGGAGAGCATGATGTTCACTGTAAAGAACTCCCGGGGTTCAAATACAAGCACAATATGGTTAGGGATGTTTTGTTTGGCATATTTAAGCATGTCGAGGTTTCCTCCAAGAAAGAGGAACCTGTGAATTTCTTAACCAACCCGACAGAAGGAAGGTCAATCCTTAGACCGACTGACGTTTTGATTTTTGGATGGGTTGGAGTGAAACACGCATGTGTGGACCTCACAAGGGTATCCCCTCTCGTAGGCCTGAGGGCTGGGGGTTTCACAGCACGACAAACTGCTTTAATAGCTGCTACAGGTAAAGTCGCCAAATATGAGAAATCGTGCATGGAAAATCATTACGTGTTCATACAATTTGCATTTGATACGTTTGGTTTTCTCATGTCGGATGTGGTGGAAATTCTTAACAGAGTACAACGGATCATGCATAGTAATGTTATATCTCCTATATCTATGGATGTAGTCTTCAAAAGAAATAACGTTACCATACAAAAAGGCTTAGCGGCACAACTTGTTGTCCGTTTGTCATCTCACACTTTGTATGATGATAACTAATGCGATATTCGAATAAAAAAAGTTAGAACCTTAAGATGGGGAATTAAGGAATAATGAGTAAGTAAATTAGTTTAATTAAATTAGGGGCTTAAATTGTAAGGATTTTAATTGTCTAGGGTTGAATTAGATGATATGATACTAGAAATGTTAACTAGAAAATCATTTTGTGCTAAATAGAAAATTTGAAGGTTGAGGGACCAATCTTGTCAAATAAGGGGAATTTAGGATTGACCTTGACTTAACATGGTAAACTAGGTTTTGGATCTAAATTTTTAAATATTAACGTTCTAGGGTGTTATGGGAGTTAAAAAGCTAGATGAGTTATTGGATGTCATTTTAGAGCAAGTTCTAAAATTGAGAAGTTGTGTGCAAAAAACTGCCAAGCAGTTAGAGTTATCTAAAACCCCAGATCCATCCCCATCTATCTATTCAAAACAATATGAGCTATAGAGGACAAATAAATATTATATTTGAAGCGAATTGTGGAATTAGAGGCAAAAATGTAATATTTACCGGATTTATATGCCAAACTCATACAAGAAGATTGTAAGGCAATCATTCCTCCATCTCCTAGTTTCTTAAGCTTCTAGTGTACCTCAAATCCGAATTTAGCTATTGAATAGGTGATTAATCCTAGTTTGGTGGTGAATTCACAGTCACCAATCTATGAATGATAGTTCATCTCAATTTTTTAATACTACCAAGAAAATGTACATAATGACATTAAGCCCCTAATCATGACGATTCTCCCTACCTTAGATATGTTATACTTATCTCGTTCATCAAGAAAGAACTAAAGGTTTTTATCACCAACAAATGGTCCTATTGGATTAAATATAATAACTTATCTATATAATAAATCAAACCAAAGATAATCTCACCACATTTAGAAAAATACTACTGAAAGAACCCATTGTCATCAATAACAAGCAATGCCATGAATTTTGCTATACATTGGCTACCATATCTCAAAAATCAAACATGATTAATGGAAAGACCATGAGAAAATCAAAATATTCTTACCTATGTCAAGGGAATTGTTAGCATGAGATGAAGAAAAAGGAAGAATATTGGCCCAATTACTTGTCTTCCTTCCCTCAGTTGGGCAGTACATGGCAAAAGCACATATCACACAATGCACTTGGTGAATATGATGGAGATTATTAAGGGACTATTGGAGATAAGGAATGAGACTTTATGCAACTTAGGGGAAAGGTGAAGGATGATTTTATTTATTTATTTTATTTTATTTTATGGTTGTGTGTTGTTTTAATGGATTTATATATTATATGTTTTGTTTATGCTTTTGATTCAAATAATCTAGTTTACAAGTACCACATCAATGAACAAGGATGAGTTTTTACCTTTGATTAGAGGAATTCCTCATTTAAAAACCCTTTCTTGAAGCCTTCTAAAACCCCTTTAAAATCCATCTGAAAACCTTGATTCATATTTTTTTGGAACCCTTGAAAATCTTTCTGAAACTCTTGAAAACCCTTTGGTGTCTGAATGAGGGGAAGGGGGAAAGGAGAGTTGGTGAGGATATTGAGCGCGACGGAAAGAGGAAGGAAGGGGAGAGGGATGTTTGCTTCTATAAGTGTGCAAGAAAGACAATAACACAAAGTGAAGAACATGATTGACGAGGGAGAAGGTAATGAGTGTTATGTGCTGATGTGGACAAGCCACACAAGCCATTAAGACACAGTTAACCTACTCAACTGTTAAAATGGCAAACCACGCCAACAAGCTCGATGGCATTGTTTTGACTAACCACCGAAAGCATGCAACCCAAAAGGACTAGAAGTGCAATTTTTGAAAAAAATAGGGACCAAGAGCGTTATATTTTTCATAGTTGTCCTGTGTTAAATCTACATGGACCAATGGGCAATGGTACAATTATGTCTAAAAAAAATACAAGAGGGGAAAAGCTTAATATCAGCATGTAGTTCGAGGACGATTTACGCAAATAACTGATTTTTAATTTGCGAAAACCGGATAGCTGTACAGCAGCTGAGATAAACATCGAAACCAATAGTTGCCATGTTCTTCGAGAGGTCTGAAATCCCTTTATCTCGATTCGGTTTCTAATTTCGCCAAATGAATCCAAAAATCCCGATAACCAGTGAAGAATTATCCGATTGAGGTTTTGGATTTCTGTTTGATTTATGTGTGTGGTGATTTTTTCAGGTTATACTGCTCACTCCTTACTCGATTTATTGTTCAGCGATCGATTGCGTTTCTTTGATGCTCTGTGTTTGTAATCTTTACATGCGAACTTTCAGATCAATCAGCAATCTGATCTTCCAAGTTTTCGCATTCATGGGGTCAGTCTCTTTCTCTCTCGCCTTTTTTTTGTGGATTCAACTGTATGTTCAGAAATAATCGTGATGACATTATCTTCCCCGTATATTTGTCAGCGTATATATGTGCTTTCTATGCATACGTTACAAAATAATAATTTTCAATTTGATTTAAATGGAGAAGAGGCGCTGCTAGAGTGCATGAACTGTTAATTAAGATGGGGGCAAGGGGATTATGTATAAACATCTGTGTAATATTAGGGTTCTACGTTAGAATCTGGTGTTTGGCAACATTAATTTGATTGGAGGATAAACTGGAAAATGGTGGACTGTTAATGTTTGGTTCTTTTCAAAGTAATTATCTAAGGCTAGTTTGAAAGAACATGTACCTTTCTTATATTCTCCACCTTTCTTGGTTAATTTAAGAACCAAACAGCTTTAGTCATTTAGTTGGATTAAGCTTGACTTTTTTATTGTTTTTGGAATCTGATGGTTTGCTTTTTGTGTAAGCAATCAATTAAACAAACAAAATGTGATTTTGGGGAAATTCGTTTTTCCTTCATGCTTTACTTGTTGTGGTGAGAGATTAATTTGTGATCCCTATACGTAATTGTTTTGTTTTGGATCAGAAATTATGCTAGAAAGCATGTTTATGAAGTGTCTTTCATTCTTTGAATTGCATAGACTCTTAGGAAAAAGTTGTTTTTGTTTGGTTTCTGAAACTTGCATTCTTATGAGTTGGGTGATGGCAAACTGGAAGGGTAAACTCATATCTCTATTCCATGTAAGTCTACTACCATCATTAAATATTTATCAGGTTGTACAATAGGATCTGTATATAGAACCATCTGTTTTGGGTGAAGTAATTACCACTATATGAAATAATAAGAAGCCTAAGAACATTTGTTTCTGTTGTGTTTTGGTTTTTATAGTTTGAGCTAATGATATTTATGGTTGTAAACCTTATTTGCAACAGAACAGAGGTTGTTTTGGATGTCCTAAGGTCCCATTTATGAGCAATGATAAAAAACAGCCACCTGGAAATCTGAAAAAAGACAAAACCATAAATATAAATAAACCCAACCTGGCACAAGACTTTTGGAGCAGCAGCACATATGAAATGGACAACAGTGCTGCCCAGTCACAATCATCACTCTCCATGTCAAACCCTAACCTCGATTCCCATTCCAATTCCAATTCCAATTCCAATTCCAATTCCACCTCCGGAACCAATCCTCCGGAATTCAGAAACCGTGGTCTCCTTCTTTGGAATCAGACAAGGCAACAATGGATTGGAGATAAGGGTTCTTCTGGTCAACAACGCAAAAAGAAGGGTAAAGAACCTGCCATAAGGTTAGAAAATATGATAATATTTTTATAAACTTATATATAATATATAATCTGATTAAATATATATTTGAGTAATTGTAATTATTATGTAGTTGGAATGCAACATATGATAATCTGCTTGGGACAAACAAGCCTTTTCCAAAGGCAATTCCTTTACCTGTAAGTCGTATATATTTTCCTTCCAAATTTTGGTTGCTATTTATTGTAGTTTTGACTCCAAAATGTGGCAGGAAATGGTGAATTTTCTTGTGGATGTATGGGAAGAAGAGGGGTTGTATGACTGATGAGAGATATAATCATAATCATAAATGATAATGGATCGCTATTTTCTGGTAAAACTGCTACATATGACATGATTATTTACTATTTAGTTTTTAAGAAAATAACTCGTATCTTTCTCTGCTTTGCACAAATTTATTGTCATTATTTTGGTTGGAAATTTGTTAAATGGATTTGGCTTGAAAATAATTCGGGCATTTATTTTGAGTTGGTGGTTTTGTGATGGAAACTATGGACACGTTATTCATTTATTCAAGACTGGTTGATACTTGAGATGCATAAAGTAACGTGCTTTAAAACTTTAAAAGGGTATTTTTTTTTTCTTTAAAAAATATGATGTACTTTTTTGTTTGATATAATGGTGGTTGATTGAATACGATTGACAAGCCGCCCTCGTTTCAAGACTATATAATTTTTTCTCAATTTGCAATTTGTGATTGTTTTCACACATGCGTTCATAAGTCATTCAACGCTCCATGATTATTAAAATTGATTATAACTAGAAACAGTCAAAAAATTTTATTAGATTATAAAACATACATACAAATGTAATATGAATTAATCAGGCCAAAGTATAATTTTAACCAACACGTTAATCTGATCAAATTTGTTAGAACGCAAAGATGAAATATATGAAAAAGAACATGGGTTAACAAATTAATCACTTTTGTTTATATTGTACTTTTATTTATGTAGTACTTTTGTTCAAACTAGAAACGATACATGTACGTTTCCATGTCCAATACTCATTTCTCATCTTATTTGACGTGTTAGGGTGTAAATTAGGCATACTGGGACATCACTTTTAGGGGAAGTTACAATATCTAGTGGATATAGCTTATAGATGTGATTGTACAATGACATTTGCTTTTATTGTATAGTCACAAGTAGTAATTATATCCATTTGGATGACATACATATTGCTATTTGCTGATATTAAAGTATTTAAAAGTTGCTATATCCAGAATAAGGTGTTAAACTCTAACAATGCACTTTGAATTTTAATTATCCCCATAAACCCATAGTGTCGGTTATTAAGTGTCTTTTGGAGTTTGCTTAAACAAGGTTAGAGCTACATGCATATAAAAATATGGACAAGTCATCAGTTTATCACAAATGTATAATCAACTTTAGTTGTCATTTCCTCATCCAATCTAACTTAATGATGTGAGTGATGATCATGAAGACGACATCATTTTTCTTATGTGGGGCTGCTATTACCGATTGGGATACGTACTTATACAAAGTTTTTTTAACATTTCTAAAACTAAAAGTAACCTCCTAATAAAAGAAATTTGAAAAGCAGAAATTTATTAAGCTGATAAAGAGCCAAGACAAAATAAAAAGATTAGATAGAAATTACAAGGATATGAACATAGATCCAACCAACCCAACTTATAGAAACGCTTCTTAATCTATTGCAACTCTAGTTAAGCTGACATTTTTATAAATTATTGTCAAACATTTTGGATCTCATGATTTTTGACAGATTTTATAAAACATACTCCTATTTCTAAATTAATTAATGTTCAAGTTAAATCACATTTAATGACTCGCAACACGAAAAATATCATATACATAAAAAAAATTATTGCAGAAAATATAATATGTTAAATACAAATAATCATCCTATTTGGTAAATAAATGTAATACACTTCTAATATGGGTTACATATTTCTATAATTTGTAAAGTATGTAAGTACATTGAGAATGTTTTTCACATGAATATTTATTTAGGGAGGCGACATTAACCCCCTATCTCTTGTGTCTAACCCGCCACGACCCCCCTCACAGTCAGGTCCTCTAGCAATTACGACTCGACACGATAACGACTAGACTAACTATGCATTGTGGATTAATAGAACCCCTTTTGATCACAATATCAAGTTAACCAACGACTAGACTAACCAGTACTCGTAATTTGTAGGGAAGTAACTGTTATATAATCATTTGTAACCAACTAACTATTCATGTAATCTCGATCATTGATTTTTCTTTTCTGATTCAATGTAATAATAATTTGTAAGTATTATATTATGTATTATGTATATTTATCAAAAGCATAATCCTAATAAAGTTAAATTGTCTTTATTTGTATGATATAAACTTAGGTGGCGTTTATTTAATTTTAAAAACTCTTTTTTAATATTGTTTGTCTTTTAGAAATTGTAAAACGTATCTCTCTTTTTGGGGGAAAAAAAATTCTGATATTCTAACTTTAGGAAAAAAACAACCATTTATTGTTAAGTTTGTTTTTTAATGATTTTTTTCCCTTACACCATCTTTGTCATATCTCACACAAACATCTTGACCACCCATTCGACACTTCCACCTCTAGCTCAACCATCACATCCACCACCACCACCACAACCTCTGACACCTCAATCCTCTACTTTGCCATCACTGCCACCACTACCAACACCACCATCTTTAACCATCATCTAGAAATCAAGGTGGTTAATGTGTGATGTACATGTGGTTTCTTTGTTTAGTATCATAATAATGATTAATGTGTTTTAATATCATTTATGCAGAGTGTAGAAATTTAAAAAATAAATTGTTTTTTACATAATACAAATGTTTATTTTGCATGTGTTTTGTAGACAATAGATTTTTACTTTTTTCAAAAACAAACAACATTTTAATTATTGTTTACAAAAAATAATTTTATTTAATATTTTTTATAAATACATTGAGTTATTTATGAGAGTCAAAATGTCATTAACTGTACCAAATATCCATTTAATTCGCTTATAATATTTTGAAATTATTTATTACATTTCACACAGAATAAAATAAAAAAAGTTATACGAAATATCAATTAAATTGTTTTTTAGTAATTTATTTACTTTTATGACCAACTTGGGGGGTGGAGGTAGGGGGTTGGGGCGGTGGGGTACGTGAAAGGGAAATGAATGGAGTAGGAAGAAACATTGAACACAAAGCATTTGGGTGGATTCATTGCATCTCTTTCTCTCTCTTTCCTCGTTTGTATAAATCAATTCAGTCAATCAATGATGCCATCATACGTTTCTTTTCTCCATTACCCTTTTTTTTGCCCTAAAATCATATCTGGGTTTCTGTTTACTCATATGATTTCTCCAAGATTTTGATGCATTCATCGCTTACACATCTCTCAATTCTCTTCCTGTTGGTGGATCTGCTCTTTTTTGCTCTCGATCGAGGGTTTTTGGGCTTTCAAGTCTCGGATTTCTTTTAGGTCTTCTTCAACTGTACTCATGCAGAAATTCTTTGGTAAGGGTCTTTAATCGCTCGCTAATTTCGATTCTATGCTGTTTCCCTTGGTTAGTTTGCTTATTTTCTGTTCAATTTTCGTTATTTAGTTTTTTTAGGGGTTCTCGAGATTATTACTTTACTTGACTGTATTTGGAAGATCTCATCTTAAATCCACCAATTATTCATTTATTTGTTGTTGAAACTTCCTGTTGATACTTGGTAGTTGTAGTTCTTACATAAACTTGCATAAGAATCACATGGTCATATGGTAAATCGACTTATCAACCTTACTATTAAAATGATTTATGATTATATCTATGATTTTGGAACTGATTGATAATCTCTTCTTGAATTGCGTTAAATTAAGAGTAGAAAAACTATGTGAACAAGTACATGCCTGATTATCTCGGAAGCTTTCTCTTACTTTTTGATGTTAGTTATGCTTTTGTTTCTTTCTTGAAAAACTTTATATTAATTTTTCCTGAACTTATATTTTCAGGTGAAGATGTTCTTTACCATGGTATGCCAAAATACCATGCTTCTGAAGAGTCGAATCTCTTCTTGTCCCTTGGTCACCATGTCGATGTGTACTTCCCCCCTCGCAAGAGGTCAAGAGTCAGTGCCCCTTTTGTGTTCTCTGAACAAATCTTCAAAAAGCAGCAAACCACCATTGATGCCCTTCCTGATGAATGCCTCTTTGAGATCTTCAGACGTGTATCTGGTAGCCAAGAAAAAAGTTCATGTGCTTTTGTCTCAAAACGTTGGCTCATGCTTTTAAGCACCATCCGCAGGGCTGAAATCAAAGAAACTGTGTCATCCATTTCAAACAAGAAAGATGAAGATCTTGAACTTAGCAACGGGTGCCTCACAAGGTGTTTAAAAGGAAAGAAAGCAACAGATATCAGACTTGCAGCTATCAGTGTTGGATCAAGTGGTCATGGAGGTCTTGGTGATCTTTCTATTCTTGGAAACAATGCTAGTAAAGTGACAAATGTTGGGCTTAAAGCTATTGCTCATGGGTGTACCACTCTTAGATCTCTTACCCTATGGAATCTCTCTTCCATTAGTGATGAAGGTGTTGTTGAAATTGCTAACGAGTGTCACAATCTTGAAAAGCTTCAACTTTCTCAATGCCCTAACATTTCCCACAAATCTTTAATCGCGATTGCAAACAACTGCCCTAATCTTACATCACTTTCAATCGAATCTTGCTCAAACATCACGAACGAAGGCCTTCAAGCAATTGGTCAAAAATGCCCAAATTTAAAGTTGATTTCATTAAAAAACTGTTCTCAAATCGGAGATCAAGGGGTTGCAAGCTTGGTATCATCATCAAGTTCTTCTTTGATGAAAGTGAGACTCCATGCTTTAAATGTTAGTGACACATGTCTTGCAGTTATTGGACACTATGGTATGTCGTTGACCGAGTTGACTCTAATTGACCTTCCTAATGTAACCGAAAAGGGGTTTTGGGTCATGGGCAGCGGTCAAGGATTACAAAAGCTGAGATCACTTGTGATTGTTAACTGTACTGGTGTGACCGATCTTGGGGTTGAAGCATTGGGCAGGGGCTGCCCGAATTTGAAACTTGTTTCCATTCGGAAATCAGGTTTATCAGACAACGGGCTTGTATCATTTGCTAAAGCCACACAATCACTCGAGACTGTTCTTCTAGAAGAATGCCACATCATCACACAGATCGGAATCTTTGGATTTGTTGTGAATTCGGGTGCATTAAAGAATCTTTCTTTGACAAAATGTTTTGGGATTAAAGATTCACCAATGATAATCCATTCGGCTTTATCCCCTTGCAATTCCCTAAAATCTTTAACCATCCGTAACTGCCCGGGATTTGGAAACTTCAGCTTGGCTTTATTGGGACGGATTTGCCCCCAGCTTCAAGACATTGTGCTGACCGGGCTCTCCGGAATCACTGATTCCGGAGTTGCTTCACTCGTTCAAAACTCTGAATCCGGTCTAACGAAAGTCGATCTTAGTGGGTGTGTGAATCTAACGGACAAGATCGTGTCAGAAATCTCCATGGCCCATGGTGGGACCCTTGAAGTCTTGAATCTTGATGGTTGTGGATTGATTACTGATGCAAGTGTGGTGACAATTGCTCAGAATTGCTCATTACTTAGAGAACTTGATGTTTCAAAATCTGCAATCACTGATTTTGCAATTGCAGCATTGGCATGTGCTGAGCATTTGAATCTTCAGGTTCTTTCGGTTTCTGGATGCCAAGTTTCAAACAAGAGCTTACCTTTCTTGAAAAAGTTGGGTGAATCACTTATTGGTTTGAACATGATGCAATGTCGTGGGGTCACAAGTGCTGCAGTTGGTGCTCTTGAAGGGCAAATATGGAAATGTGATATTCTCGTTTAAGTCGGTAATCAGTTATTAGTTCTTGAGTCGGTGGTTTTTACAGGTCTGTTGCAAAGTGGTCTTCTTGGAATCACTCCAAAGCTCTCTTTTTTCCAAGGGGTTTGGCTGGTATCTCTTTTTTTACAGTTTTATTAAACTGTTTTTCAAGAATTTTTGGCCTTGTTTATAAGGTCTTCTATTCTTCTTTCCA